ACCTATTTCAGTTGCCAAGCTGCTATCTTTGTAAGCTGTGTTTCTGTACAGTCAGACTAGTAATAATAAATGTCAATCAGATTATTAGGTCTAACAAGATCAGGCAGTGAAATTACACAATAAGAAACATCTTAGTCCTCTAGAATGGCAACGTATGAATGGTATCACGGTGTCATATGATAACGTGATATCCGTGGTTCTGTTCATATGTATACGCAACAACCGTTTTCCCTCAAGTGAGCCATCAGCTTGTCTATCATTCCAATAATAGCTTATGTCTCTTTGGAATGATGTACATTAAATATGGCGAAAAATCTTCTCAAGTAGGTACAGTAGTCGGGTGAATATTTCCTTCCTAATAAAATCAGGTCTCTATAATATTAGTACAGATCAGTTTGCGAACAATTTTAGAATTATTAGAACAAAAGATGTAATTTTATATTCATAAAATATATGAATATAAAAGTGAATACGTAAAACTATAAGTAGAATGGAAAGAGACTGAAAATGTAACAAAGTATCTATTATTAAACTGCGAGTGAAGTTGCAGAGACACTTTCATATCTACATATTCCAGGATGATTTTGTGCATAATAAAATTGGTCGAGAAGAAAATAAAGAGGGATTTCCATCAAGCTATTTTTAAAGATTAGATATTTTATTTCACATTCAATTTGTCTAGTCCAGTATTGAAATTCAATATCGCTCTTGCTCTTCAGATCCGGGAAATGATTTCCTGCCACTGTGCGATTCTATCCTCTACTTCATTTTGAAGGTTATTTCATGAATTCTAAAGTATTAATATGAAATTCATAAGTTATATTTTATTAGTAAACTTAAAATTTTAATTCATTTTGTTCTCACCATTTGATGTAATGTGATATTAAGTGATTTAAAGTTTTTTTGTTTATTTATTACAATAATCTCTTTGCTAGTTCTGACAAATAATAATAATAATATCCTTTATTATTATTATTTGTCATTGGACAATTCATACAACGTCACTAGTCTCAAGCTAAGCAGAACTTGTGTTCTGAGTACTAGACTACGGATACAAATACATAGATACTTTGTTTTTGTAAATACGTATATAATTAATATATACATAGAAAACACTTAGACACAAAAAATCATACTCATGAATACAATTGTTGGTACCGAACCAGGAATCGAACCCGCTACCATCGGAAATAAAGCTGTTTGCTAAACCGCTAGACCACCGAGGTTGTCAAATTAGGATATTATGTATTTAAATCTATATTGATCTCACAACTATTTGGAACGTTCCAAATAAAGCCATCTTAAATGGAGTATAATCATTGATTATTTTAGTATGATATATGTTACGCGATATCTTTGCCAATTCTGTGCCATTAATCAAACTACGTTTAAAAAAATCAATAAAATTGAAATGCATTAGCAATAGACCTACTTTACAGTCATTTATGATTAATCTGTTCATAATCTCAAATACATCTCAGAGTACAGAGACAGGATATGTTAGTTCTTCGGAATGGCAATGCATGAGGAGTACTACAGAAATTAAGACAGGATATGAGAGAGCATAAAAGATCAGAAATTAATACTTCAGAAATTATTTTTCCATCAACTCCAAAAGTTGATGGAAAAATAGTTTACCTCGTAAAAACTCACTAACTTTTTGGCGTCCTCGGTTTCGTCTTATTAACGGGATTACGAGAGAAAGTTTCTTGTAATCTCATTGTTATCTATGTATATTTCTGTATACACACCGACCTATATCTAAATGGGGATTACGTAGTAATCAGACGGGCTCACTTTTGTCATTAATCGGTAGTTGCTGTTGCCGTTAATAGTTTATGAAGGTTACATTGACTAGGTATTTAAAGCCGCGATCAATAATGGAACTGGCTTTCAAATACAGATGTGATGATATTTTTATTAAATTTTGTCTAGTTGAGTAACTCTATCTCATCTATTTCAGCTGCCACATCTAACATGGTGGAAAGTCATCTTGGTAGATGTGGCAACGGGAAGATGATATAAAAAGAGGTACCAGTGAAATATGATAATATCAGTAAGAGTGTAATAAGTTACCCCATCTCTTTGAATTCGTGTGTATATATATAGGTACCTTTACTTTAGATACCTTTCTTATATGGTTATTGTATTCTTTATAAAATTTTAACTATCTTTTTCCTTTTTCCATACCATTACCATAGTTTCTTTTCATATTAAATTATATTATACAGTCCTTAAGTAACCCAGTCGTTAAAATTACGACACCGTGTCGAAGTCAAACTGAAATGTTACTTTGTTGGCAATGACACCATGAGTCCACAATGCAAATAATTTCTTTCACCCCTCTATTCTATTTGTATTTATATTTTCAATTATTTTATTTTAACCCTAGACTTACCTCTTCCTTACACCAGCAGATCGCTTTACAAACTGTATTTCGGTTTCAGGGTGAGATATGTCAATGAAAATGCATACAGCCCTCTATTCTACCTGTACTATATTTATATTTTCAATTATTTTATTTTAACCCTAGACTGTCACCTATTTACTTTGACACCAGCTCGCTTTACAAACTGTATTACGATTTGTTGAATACCTCTGAATCCTCAAGAAGGCAACACATCAAGGATATCACGAGTGTCCCAAATTAATTTTGTGATAGCTTTGTGTACATTGAGTTACCATTAGATGATAGTTGGTTACCATCTTCTATAAAAGGAACCGTCAGCTTGATTGCCATTTAAGATATAAGATAAGATTGCCGTTTAAGAATTAAGATAAAAAGAACTTTGCGTTAAATTCTATAGATATATTCCTACTACATGATGTTACTGTTATATTACCCACCAAATACGTTATTCAGTGTATGAAATGAAATTGATGAATTGTCAAATTGGCTTGACGTCAATTGAATATCAAACTACAGGCGTTGCTATATATGTATTGAGTCGTAGGTACAGTTTTTAGATAGATTAAATTGAACTTTCATCGGGACAAGTCATATTAATAACTCTGTTATCAGAATTATGATTTGTATGTATGTTTAAGTCTTTATACAATACTCTCAACCTTTACTTTCTTATTGATTTGACTTAGCTTTTCAAAGGATTACTTTATGTATTTTTTGTTTTTTTATAATATACATTATCTACCTGCAAAAAATATTTACAATAGAGGGAAAGGGATCGTTAGTAATGTGAACTAATTACTCCATCGCTAGCGATGTACCAAGTCAGGTTGTCCACACGGTTCCCTCTGGAAACCATCGTGATAAATCCCTGGTGACTATGTTATGATGGGCCAACAAACCTGATCTCATGCTCATCTTATCTCACTCCACTGTTGGTCCTGTCATATTCATGAGTACGATTGTTTGTAAGGTCTGAGTATTTTATATGTATATTGTGTAAGTATTTATAAAAAAAATTGTATTTATATCAGTTGTCTAGTACACAAGTTCTGCTTACCATGGTAGTAGACGACGTCGTGAAAATTTTCCAGATGTATTATTATTATAGAAACCAAGTTTAATGTTCACAATAAATTATGTTAAAATTATGAGTTAGCAACCGGAAATTACGGATACAGCAGCCGCATCCAACATAATATATTTATGGTTACGATGCAACCAGCGTCGTCGGTGGAGTGTTATGGCGGGTTTAAACTGTGGCAATTTAAATATATAATCTAAAGGAATGTTAAAATTATACATTTATACTTATATTATATTACGAAGAGAAATAGTGAATTTCGTTGTAGGCCAGGCCATTATAAGTCGACGTAGTAACCTATAGCTCTCTAATGCTATTTGTAAAGGTTAATATAATTTGTCTAGGACAACATGGAAATTATCTATTTAATTATTGGTCAAAAGGAGTCAATAAATTCAGTTTTTTTTATATGTTTCATCTTATTTAGATAAAGAAGCTACAAGTACAAAAGGACAATACAAATTAAAACCCACGCAAACCAACAGAAACCCAGGTAGTTCATCTACCTCTATGAAGAAATATGTAGATACTCACCTTCAATAAAGAACGGTGCACTTTATTCTGAAAACGGACATTGGCTTTATGAATTTTTCATGAAAACCTTTAAGGATAGCGTCTCACATGTACCCTTTTTCGTTCCTTATTATTTAAGGTAATATAATTCATGATATATTTGTTCAGAAAAACAACTTCCGTGCAGGGATTTAGCCAGAAGCCATCTCGAATATATTTTCGTCCTTAGCGCCCCTCGATAGAAGGTAGTTCGTAGAAGACTAACAATTATATTTTTCTAAATCTTAAACGTTACCGAAATTAATATTACAGAAATGTAATGTACCTCAGTAACTGACAGGAGGTTAGGGTTTATTACATGCATGTAAATAAAACTATACCATAATGCTCGTGTTGTTTAATTGTTTGCTTAATTATATCTTTAACTAAATTAACACAGATACAATAAAACAACAGCTCATTGACTAGAATAACAATTCGTATTTATCTGCATAAATATTTATCATTAAATAACGACATTTAAATATTTCATTAAATTATATTAATCTAATGAATCTCTACATCACGATACTATTTTGAACATTGCGTAAACGAGATTTAATGTCACCATCCAATTTAAAATTAAAACAGGTTGTATCTTAGATTACGTGAGATTAGAACAAAGTCAAACGTTTTAAGGAATGCCATATTTAAATCTGCAGAATATTATACAGATTTATTTAGATAAAATAAATTTTGATATCTTAATTTCTAAATTTTGTAATTACTTATATTGTCTAGTCTAAAAGAGAGTAGGCAGTATGTAAGTACAAGGACATCTCTATATATTTAAAGAAGTAATAGATTTGGACGGCGGCATTGACTAAAAGCGTTGCATTTACAAAAGTTATAATGTTTGTATAACATTTCTAATAATTCTATTTATACAACTCTCAGACTGTTATCCAGTGCATATTTAACATATATTCTGTAAATAGAACACATCTGTGAGCCTAGTGACATTTTATTTGTAAAACATTCTAATATTACAAATCATTACTAAAAAGTCCAACAATATCAGTAATAGAATTGTTTCTAATATACCTATGGAATATTTCAGTGATATTATTTTTACAGAGATACAGACTAAAGTAATACTTCAGTAGGTAAAGCTAACGATATGGAGGAACCCTGTAGGAGAAATAATTACGTCTAATACAGTAGTAAATAGTATAGGAAACATTACGAATTGGTCACTGTTTGGTCAGGAAGGTCGAGTAGAAACGGGTCTGTACAAAGCGATAAAAAATAACATCTGAAAACACCGAAGCTGACTCGACTTCGAACCGCACACTTATTTATTGTCTTTAAACGCACATCTATCAGCAAGACTATCATAAAAATACCCGTTTTATAAAGCGTTATGTCTCACGTGGGTTTGGTGTTGTGGCCACGAGAGGAGAAGTTGCTCGTCCGCGCTGTCGACGTTCACATTCTCTGATAAAGCTGGTGAGTATGATAAACCACCCAGCAAAGCACCACTGGATCTCGATTGTTGTCGACAAAGTGGGCGACGTGTTGGCGATTCACTCTCATCAGACATAGCCCTTGTCACCGTAATCCGAGGTGACTGCCGTCGACGACCCCGAGGTCCTGTTTCTTCTAACCCAAGCGCTCTACCTAGAACTACGTGTGGCGGAGCACGAATAAGTGGAATGGCAGATGTACGAGGTCGAGGCACTTCCTCTTCCTGGGAGTCCTGAAGCATATTACAAGAGGCAGCTCTTGGCGCTGGCCGTTCTGATCCCCTGGAACCCATAACTGCTGCATCAGATAATCTTCTTGTGGTCGGCGGTCGTATACAACCTGATCCAGCTGACAAAGATGGTCTTCGTGATCCACAAGCACTTGGAGTTCGTGCTTGAATCTCTTGAGTAACCTCACTTTTAGTCATTCGTTTTCGTTTATAATTACGAAGAGAATCACGAAGCGCACGACTTCTAATACCATATAAGATACCGTTTACAGGTGGAGCAGCAGCTAATAAAGCCGCCGACAATGCTGCTACTGGTTGTGGTGGTATAGAGATAGCAGGCCATATTAAAACACAGTAATATGGGAAATATAGAATAGCCAAAGAACCCAATGGTTGGAGTATTGCTGACAAGGCTCGGTGGCGATGCGGAGGTGGAGGAGAAAAAGGATTACGTTGATGAGTCACTGTGACTTGAGCGGACAAAGTCACTTCATATATAGCCGCAGCAATTCTATGCCGATGATATCGAGCTATGCGAAGGATTTTCAAACTGCAAAGGAGAACTAGTACAACTGGTAGCAGTAAAGTTAATAGGGCGTAAAGTAAACAAAATCCTAGCGCCGCTGGTCCAGCACTACAGTCTGGAGCACAACTGCCAAGGCCACTGCTATATGCTAGTGGAGGCTTGGAAGCTGCCAGGGGAGCTAGTAGTGCTGCTGTCGCAACCCAGCCGCTTGCCACACATATCATCACCTGGAAATCAAAATATTATAGTATAAATAATAATCAATATTTTTCCCAAATATTAGTAGGCTTTTAGACATACCAAAAAAAGCACTTAACAATTCCATGTCACATATGTTTATATACATATCATACTCGTACTGTATTATATCTATATCATATCTTTTCATTCACTACTACTACTACTAGTGAATCAAGTGTTAATAATATTGTAGTAATATCAGATATATTGCCAAACTTGCTTTAGTTTAAATTGTGAAATTATAAAGTAATGATGTTTAATTACTCGTATATAGGTGACGGTTGCTACTTTTCATAAAGTAGACCGTCAACTTAGTTGCTATTGTGAGTAATAAGAGTGTTTATAAGATTAAAACAATTTTTACACTGTCTATTTTAGACCGAAGAGTAGTAAGATGGCTTGGCAAGAAATTAATTTACCACCAGTAACTAGAAGTGTCCAGTAAACTATCAACTATCAGCAACATTGTGTCAACGTCTGGCTGTCATTCTTGCTCCTATTCTCCTAATCTTAGGCTATAATCTTAGCACACCATTTACAGAGGTTTTATCTTCAGAAGCTGGACCCAAATGGTCTGGGTCAGTGCTGTTTTAGAGGAGCTTCTTCCCACGTACACTTAGATTGTGTAATGAACTACCTACTGAGATTTTATTGAGAGACTACAGCATGGGATTTTTTAAGAAAAATATATTAAGGTTTCTTATGGGTCCGCAATTCGCACGGACGGACAACGGACGCCTGAAATACCAGGGGTGTCACTCCTGGTATTTCAGGCGTCCGTAGGCTAGGATAACCGTTTATCATCAGATGTGTATTATTTGCCACCATCGTAGTATTAAAAAACTAACCTTTCGCGCAGATACAATGGCAGCATAATGCAATGGTGCAGCAATGGCGGCGGCGCGGTCTGCGTGCAGACCACATACGGTCCACAGTTGTAGCGGGTGTAGAGCATGAAGCAACGCTCCACAAGCACATGCTCCTCCACCTCCACCAGCACATAAAGCGGCGCCGCTGGCCAGCGCACCCACTGCGCCCAGGTGTACCAACAATACTGACGATGCGGATGCCGGCTGCCGAAATGAAACATTTTCCTTACTGGATTTGGAGTTATAACTTAAATATACTACCAGTCATGGAATCTTTTTATTAGGCTGCTACGGAAGTATATTATTGGTAGACTATTAGTTATGACAGTGTATATAGGAATTAATATATTGATTGGAAAAAGATTTAATAACATCCGTTCGAATTTGGTGAGAACATCATATAAAACAAAAAAAAAAAACTATCATTTTATTAAGAACATAGTCTTATCATTTAAAATTTATTAATGGTCAATCGTGTCTTGGCATTCTTTAGGACTAAGATGTTGTACCTTCAAAAACATTGTATTGTAATATCAATCTCATATATAATCATCTTATACATAAGTTAGTCATGGTCACAAGCTGGCTAGTGCAACATCATGACTGTTACCAAGGATGGCGTAGTCAGCAGAGGCTTTCTCAATTATCAACTCCATGGTGAACGCAACATCTAACATGGCCACATTTCGTTCGTTATGGTTGAATCAGCAGGCGTGAGCTAAATGCCGTCTATCAGATTGATTTTTGGTTTTGTTATCGGATTTTCCTTCACAGAGAATCAGTCAGTATCTAAATATTTCGTCATACATATACGCTATATGTTCATAGGATTACGTATATATAGCTATATGTTTAACACTGACACTGGTGTACGGACATATATGTTAAATATATCACTTGAAAGGCTATCCTAACAATTCACATTGTTCAGAGGTGCGGCTTTGTGAAAAAATTCTAAGCTAACAAGAACCTTGCTTCCAACGTGTTTTTCGTTAAAAATTGGATGTTTCTATATTTATACCGGACGGTTTAAATTAACGAATAAAAATATATAATTAAATAACGAACGAGTTACGCAAACGTGGCTTAGTAAGGTATTTTTAAGTAATTAATTGTTTCCTAATAATTTTATTTGTTTATTTAGTCCTTTAAATACGTAATGTAATTTTAATTTTCGTCTCATTAGTAATTTACTTGAGCTCATTCTCGTTTGTATGCAAGTGCTATTTGCGTAGGTGTAAAGGGTATAATTTGTTTCTTGTTAAGCAAAGTACAACATTGTGGGTATATGACATGTTCTTCAAACATTCTAAAGATGTCAGAATTTCGCTAGAGTATACACAGAGGGTAATAATGTATATATAAATATCATAATTTATTTAGTAGTATTATTATGAAAGGACGGAGCGACTCGTAATGACAACGGCGGGATGAATAACCGTCTGGTGCATAAGTTTTTTCTTTGAGAATAAATTAATGTTCTTAGTTGTAAGAATAATAAAACATCGTAATAAATTATAAATCAATGGTATAGAGCTTTATACATCTATTATTTAATATATATATATATTTATTAGAGCTTCTGAGCATAAAAATTGCATAATTTTTTTTTAAACACATTTCTTATAATAAAAGTGCTTATATTAAATTGTACAGGAGTAAAGATTTTTTGCCTCTCTACTTCATATATCTAATGCCGTTAAAATATATTTACTTTTATTGCTTGAGGACATGATAAATTAACATCAATTACAACATTAAGCAACTTTTAAATGAAAGTAAGAACCATATGTCAATATACAAAGAAATACAAAATAATTTAATAATGTACCTAGGACATTTTTAATCATTATCCCAAGTCTAGTCCAGGTAACTACTTCAGTTGAGAATACGTTGTGAAATGTAACTGGAACATATACACGTCAGTACACATACAGATGTACATATAAATATTACATATTTACGTACTACCCCTATGCATGAAACAAAGGACAATAAATCTGAAATAAATATGAAGTTCCTGAGTAGTGACTAAACCTCGCTCAGCTTTGTTTATCTGCATTGTACTGCAACAATGGCCTGAGAGCAGTTTTGTATGTTGTCCTAGTGCAATGGTTCCCAACCAATAGTCCTCGAACCACTGAATGGTCAGCCAGAATGAAAATGTCAGCAAAGAACTTGAAACTATAATTAAATTATATATTTTCTTTTATGAAATGTATATAAGTGGCGGGTAGACAAATATAATACATATCTGAATGTGTTATTAACTGCTTAGTTAAAGGCACGCTTTTTTAATTTAGGTTAGAATAATATTTTATTAATCTTATGGTCGTTGTTCGTGTACAACAAATCTGATCTCTGTTCTGAAATCTGAATCTGAAAATTCTGAAAATCTGTTCTGATCGAAAAAGATTGAGTACCACTGTTTTAGTATTAGTAGTGGTTACGCCTAGACTAAGATATTTGTATGTAGATACACTGCTATGCTTTACGAATATATATAGTTGTATATACTTTAATTTTTTTTTCTATATCAGTTTTTCAGCTTAAACTACATTCAAACTAACAGTAGATATGACTTTTCCAAATTCATGACATTAATTTCACAGTAGGTCGATTATTAAATATATGTTTATTTTAATAAATTTACCACATTATTTAAATATTCAAATTTTTCAAATTCAAAATATTTTTATTCATGTAGGTATTACAGACTCTTATGATATGTCAAATCTACCGTCAGTTCGGAATGATTTCGAGATGAGAAGAACTGACAAGAAACTCAGCTTGTATTTATTTTTTTAATGTTGTACATATTTATAATAATACTATTTCATTTAAATTCAAATTTGGGAGAATAGAGTGACCACCAGAATATGCTATATAAAAAAAAAACTAATCAGTGTTCGCAACCCGAACAGACCAGTCCCCACAAGCAGCACCCGTTCACGAGTATGACGGATGAGCCAGCCATCATTGCATTTAACCATATTAAAGGGAGCACATCGACCAGGCCCACCACGCCGCCACATGTTTGAACTTTATAGCGAGCATGACTGTTTCAAGTTACTCCACTACGTCATTTATATTATTTACAGCATAAACTGTACCGATCACAGTTTTCACCCATTACAATATTTAATTTACATTATTTAAATTACAATATGTCATTACAAAATTTAGAATAAGTTTTTTTAGTGTTTATTACATTATCTATGTCAAAGGGAAAGTTATATACCTCATAACAAAAGTTAAAATTGTAATTAAGTCCACGCATTGTAGTCATTTATACATTTCATAGTATAAAACAAACAATTCTCTTTAAAACAATGTTATGAAATATTAACAAATGTATCAGTAACAGAAATATGTAAAACTGTGTAAGCTACCGGAAGTTGCCGCGGAGGTAGTTTCCGCTCTGACTGAGCAGCTCAGTGGCGCCCTCTGCCGCTTCCCGTTTATGTGTCGCAACAAGTGGGATTGAAAGGAACGACTTCCTGCCTCGTTACGATAACAATGTGTAGCGATTTACGCCTGCGAAACTCTACATTACTTAGTTTCGTTTGTTTTTACTTTTTTTCGTATATTAGCAGCACTAATTATACATTAATTAGGTATATCGTATATGATATTAAACTAGAGATGTTATTATATACACATTAGAGAGAGCAACGTAAAATATATCATTAGGTAAACTATACTCAATTTTTAAAATATTATGTAATTTTTTAAAAGTGGAAATTAAGTACACTCTTTCTCCTTTTTTTAGGGGTAGATACATAAATTATTGTGTAATAATTTTTATTTTTTTAGTTGACATTGAAAACACTGATGATACAAAAGAATTCAACGATATGTAACTTTTTATACAACTTTTTTAAATATTTGTACAACTTTAGTATACTTTTTATTTATTTAATTATTTGTTAACTAATGTATTGAACCGACCTGGAATTAATACAAAAACGTTCATAAGCGGCTAAAATGTCAATACATGTATAAATGATTTGATAAAATATTGTACAAAATCTTTACTCTACTGCTATAGAATTCTCTCTCAGGCAGTCTTGAATCTTGAATAAATCCATACATAGAAATCACTCTGACCAATTACAAACACTTATACACCTTAATATAAATGTCTGTACCATGCGAGGAATCGAACTCACGACGTAAAGTGGTGTGTTAAACCACCACCACCACCAAGACCGTAAATATTGTCACCGATTTTAGGTATAAATGTACCCTAATATAAATTTTGATAGATCAACTTCGAGCACTAGCTTGGAATATCGTAAGTAAGACAGACGTCTTTGAACTATTCCAATATTGAGTTCCGCCTGACCAACTATTGACTTATTGTTATTTATAGAGGAACTAAGTTTTGCCTATGTATTTGGGATTCAAACCAGGTATCCTAATTCTACCATATCTTATATAGGTTTATTATTTACTTTTAACTTTATATTATACTCTGATTACAAAACAGTACTTACGTTATGTGCCGATTATTATTTATCGGTGATTTTTTTATTTATAACTAGCTACTTACCCCGGCTGTATTTATACATAAACCTGCCTCTTGAATCACTCTATCTGTTAAAAAAAATGTAGTTTTAAAAATTTAAGCATACATAGGGACGGACAGACAGCAACAGCGACTTTATTTTATACTATGTGATGATAAATTAGTTTGATTATTATTTATGGATTTGATCGTAAACTAGATCAGAGATACGCAAAATGTTTTTTGGTTTGTAGTTCATAGATTATAGAGGTCGAGGACTAAATTCTTTCAGCTAAATTTTTACCAACTATTTACACTACACACCATCAACAGGGATTTAATTTACAGGCCCTGTAATGTTAGACATTTCAGGGCATGTAAAGGCCTGAATGTAGAGGAATGAATTACCTATTGATATTTTCTCTAGAGAATACGGCATGGGGTTTTTAAAAATATTAAAATTTGTTAAAAGACTGCTACGCGCAAGTATTACCTTCGAATTTTCAGGCATGGCTACGGTAACCGTTTACAGTCATATGAGCAGTATGTTTACCATAGTGGTATAAAAAAGTCTACGTGGCATAATTTAAAATATTTACTATAAATACAGTATATATTGTGCCTACTTCCTCGTACCTATTGGGTTAAATTATGATTATTAAATGCAAATAGTTTCGTTGGCTCTTTATAGTGTGAAAACTTCATCCAAACTTAACCTATTTGAACGTCATTTCGCATTCAGAGGACAAATTTTCACGTCTATTTTCACATTGAAAATTCAAGACACGTTCGTGTACTACATCTACTAATATTGTTGAACATGTCTATTTATGAATACGGAACGAGAATTAGTTTATTACAAACTATATTTTAACTCAAACCAATTAAAGTATCGGTGAAATAATAACGTCATTATTACGGATACTGAATTTTGTCGTAGATAACTCAATCGCATCTATTTCAGCGGCCAAGCAGCTTATTTGAAAGTTTCTATCAGTTAAAAATGAGCATATAAGGCAGTATAAGTGACATTACAAGTTAAGAGGGCTGTCAGGTTGTTTGACAACCAATTATATAATAAAAATATATAGATATTAGTGTCTAGGTGTATTACAAAAGCAACTTATTTGTATAAATCAAAATGACAAACTATCCGCTACAATAAAGTACTTTTATTTACCATAAAATTATTAGCCTTTTTAATAATCTCAACAAACCTCTTTAGAGTTTTGTAATTATTGGACTGTAGAGTAGACTGTGATCAAATCTGAGGTCTATGTCCTGATGAATGTCTGGATTGGTGATAATTTATTTATAATGTGATTGAGAGTACACCGATAAAGTAAATTAATGTTATTATTAAATAAAGTTATTGCATTATGTTTGACAAACACAAATTTATACTAAAGGGATCGACTTAGTCATCGGCTCTTTCTAACCTAGCTTTAATAGAAGGATAATAATAATAATATTGGAAGGTAAGATTAAATTGTATATATATTTCTTATATTCAGTATTTTTATTATTATTACGTAGTTTTTAAAAATAAAACATAAAATAATTTATAGATTAAATAAATAATACAATCTTTGGACTTGCTTATTAACAAACTTTTTTATGTATTCTTGTCAACTTTAATTTTTATTAATATATAAAAGTAGATAATGATATTGGTACCTACATCATTATCGACTTTTATATCGTATAATCTAGATTAAGCATTAGTGTAGTCCAACCTGATTCAAAAGAGATGAGTCTGTCTGACTCGAGGGTTAGGTAATGAGTCAAGGGTCACAGCAGCGAACCTATAAAACTGGAAGAAGTATGAGATGTTTGGGAGAATAGAGACCTTCGGTTATCGTTTCTGTCTATTTCATCTATAAGACAAATAGCTGTAATTTTATAAAAATATATAAAACAATATATATATATTTATAATTTAACACTAATTATCCTCATATTGATTCAAAAAAACATAAAAATAAGTCTAAGTGTCAGAAACGAGATACTTGAGTTATTGAATTTGAAGATGATACAAATACGAGTATATTATATATCTGTTGTTCAGTATCCTTATCAATTAGCTTTATTTAGCTTAAAACTGGATGGCGGTTTGTAAATTGTCCAGAGATATTATTAATATTTTTTCTAATATTAAAAGTTCTATTAGTGATCCAGGAAATTTTACGTTTATGTACGTGTTAATTACGTGATAGTGCGGGACGGGATCTATAGCACAGGCATAATAATTGTAGCTACTCTAAAAGAGTCTTATATTTAGTTAATTGTATTAAGAATACCTAATGAAATTCTTAATGTACATAATATGCTGGTGTGTTTGTGCATTTGTCACGTGTTTACGACTAAACTACTTCAGTAATTAGATGGAAACTTAGGTAAATTAAATACCAGTATGCATGGGTATATGTTGTCGCAGGGCGAGTCGTACAAGTTATTACAATTTTATTTTCTTAGGTTCAGTCTACTCTTATAGACACCGCTCAATGCATAGAGCTTTAGAATGTTATTACACATATATATATAATATAAGGTTAAATATGAGATATCGTCGTCTATATTGAACTGAAGTTAATAATACTTTGATCGTTCCATTGAAAGTTATTGATTGTGTCATGTCTGAAGTAATTTATTTTATTTATTACTTTAAATATCGATGTGTTTTACTGGAATAAATTGAATTGTATATTTTTGATAAATACACATATAAATATTATTCCGATGATAGCGGGCTCGCTTCCTCGCTCGGTACAAATATGGATTTAGGAGTATGATTGTTTGTATTAGTCTGGGTGTTTTCTATGTACCTATATACAAACGAATTTATAAAAAAAAATGGTATATCTATCAAGTGTGTAGTATCCATAACACAATCTTTGCTTTGGACTATATAGCGCTGTGTGAATTGTCAAGGGATATTATTATTAATCACATATGTATATTAATCTCTTCGATTTCCAGTCATCCCAATATAATTATAAATGGGCCGGAATTTAGACCATCATAATGTGTTGCATCTTTACATGTTGTGGTTGGATGATTGATCTGTTACAAAGGTAAACATAATTTCAATACTCAAAGATAAATCATTATAGGCCATTCATATATTACGCTACATCATCATCTGCTTCTTTTTTATCCCATTTTTTGGGGTCGGTGTAATATGTTTTTCTCTTCCATTCATCTCTATTCGCAGTCATCTCATTATTTTCTTAAAATATCATCTTTCACATAGTCTATCACTTTTTCGGCCTTCCTCTGCTCTTATAATCCTCCACATTCACATGTAACACCTTCCTTAAAGTATTATAAATTACACCACATATTAACAAATTATAATTAATATTATTATGCCTTTTTCTCTGGTCCATTCATACTTTACCAATTTCTGACTTTACTACCCAAAGGTTAACTGGAAGATAAGATTGCTTATGCGATAAGACCGCCTGTATCTTTACTCTAAAGTATATTTTTTTTTTTACTTCTGGTTCGTCTGGGGAGTTCATAAATAAAATAATAAATAAGGGTGTCGACAAAATGTAATATTGTATATAACAAGCTGGAGCAGTCACAAATATCTTATAAAAAAATTATGACATCTAGGACGCTTGCCACCCTCCTGGGAGGGGTCTTAGATCCTGTAACATCACATCTCAATTTTAGTATTATAACACGAAATTTTAACTCGTAAAAATATCTTCTTTTTTTGTCGGCTCCTTATAATAAATGATATGAAATATAGGAAAAGTCTTCCATAAATAATAACTTTGAAAGAATTTGGGTATAAACTTCTTGGGTTTTTAATCAGTGAGATATATGTTTCACTAATGGAACAGTAAGTCTTAAGTTAAAAAATCTTTATTTTAAATAGAATTTATTTGGTCCATTGTTAATTTATGAGTATATATAGGTACATATATATATAGGTTATATTATGCTATCTATATATATTTGTAACTAGACCACAGAATATGTAAATAGTAGGTACCTATATAATGTAGACTATTATATATTTAAATCAAGTAAAATACGTTTCTATTAATGACAGTGACTACAATCTAAATCTTCATTTAACAATTACCATATCTCTATGTAATTACGTAGAGATTGTTCGCTTTATTACATTCTATATCCATTCCAAGCAATAATATGAGAGTTGTTGACAAACTAAATTTAATATTCCTAAATGAGTTTCGTCTCGTCTTATTGATTGCTTCACTGGGAGAGTACTTTATTGTACATAATATATAGGATACAAGCTTTTACCATTCTTATCAATCTTAGCTTATTATACGAAAATTGGTTTCCCCATTCCTTTTCATGGTAACATAATCAGATAGATAAAATACGCGAGCAGGTGTTGTTCTACATCCGGCTTTGGTTTATTTATTAAGCTTATGAACGAACAAACCTATAGATAAATTTTATTCTAAGTAATAAGAATGTAAATAATAAAAAAAGTTAGATCAATATGAAATAGAATCATTGTTGTCCGCCTAAAGAATTATTTTTCATAAAATTTCCAACATTACATAAAAGAGATATTTACCATTTTATAATTATAAACAACTGTTAAATATTTTTTAAACAGTTGTATTCATATTGTGCTTGGCGTGTCCTATTATTATAATAATATGTTCTTTGATCTTTTTGTTTTACTTCACCTTATATAAGCAAGTTTAAATTCTCGCCTGAGGCAACAACAGAAGATTGGAATTCTTTCACGCTTCTTAGGCAACGACTAAATTTTAAACTCTATTTGAATACTTTCGTAGGTTAAAGTTTTTTAATGTAACTGGTAAGACAAATAGGCTGATGGTCTACGTGATGGCAAGATACTATAGGTGCCCGTTGTCTATAAATATCAAAAAAGGCCTAAAAAGAGGTGGATGGACTATGTGAAAGAGGATATGGTAAGAAAGGGAGTAAAGAGATGACTGCGAACAAAGATGAATGGAAAAGAAAAACATATTAGGCCGACCCCAAATATTGGGATAAAGAAGAAGCAGATGAGGATGATTGATATATTTATATATTATTTATATTATATATAAGTTCATTATACATAGGTTATGGACTTTCACGATGTCTTGCTGCATCAGCTCGGCTGTTTGCTGCGTCATAATCACCGCCTCGCTTTCCGGCGTAGCTTTAGGATACAATTACTCGCTAGCTGAATACATCGACTTGAAAGGTTCGTACTTTTTTTATAAAACGTGGTAAATTATGTGGTATTAGAATAGAATAGAATAGAATGGAATAGAAAATCATTTATTCAAATAAACTTACATTGAAGCACTTTTGAATAGTCATAACATTTTTTTTTTTTAATCTACCCCTCATTCGGAATGCTGTCTCATCACAAGAAGAACAATCCAGAAACTTGTGTGTTGCTCTTTTAAATAATTTATTCTTACTTACAATTTAAGTTTAAGTGTGTGAATACAAACCACCGATTAGTACTAATTCAATGAAATATCAAAAAGAAAAAAATATTGAATAATATATAATCAGAAATCAGTCATAGTGATTGACCAGTCCCGACAAGCAGCACCCGTTCACGAGATGACGGATGAGCCAGCCATCACTGCGCTCGACCATATTTTAGGGAGCCCAATGACCCGGCCCACCACGCCGCCACAAGTATGGACATTTTAGTGAGCATGACTACTCAAAACACTAGACCACGTCCTTCACAATTGCCATCTGATGTTTATAGTATTCACATTTCACATAAGAATATGCGGCAATTAATACAAAACCCGCTACGCTTTCATATTTCTAAAATAATTGAATCAAGAAAGCAATGAGATAAACAAATTATAACGTTGTATGCTAATAAACTAATTATTTACTTGATATGTTATAAAAATTAATTTATAATAAATCAATTTTTAATTTTTTTTTATAATGAATATCATTTTCATCTGCTTTAATTTCGTATTAATTTTGTTGTGTATACGATATACATATATTTACGATTCGTCTGAGTAACAGTAGTTTGATGTAACAGTACAATACTTTAAACGTTAGGTAAATCTGTATTCTGAGATCGTTAGTTATTACTAACCTTAACTACTACGTGGTTGTAGTGTGGGAGTAGGGCCAGTGTTAATTGAAACACAACATACATAGATTTATTAAAGACACTAAAGATAGATTAATATAAACACACTATCACTAAATCAAGATACCTACAGAGGAAGCCATCGTTAATTTCAGATTTGGACCAACATAAAAGCAGAATTATATTGCTCTGTTGGCTAATGTTGCAATATCATATTTATTATGGTTTAGGTATTAATTTGTATAATTATTTTCAGAGACGAATGTGTCTGTATATCTGAAACGAGGTGTGTTCGATGACGAGATCGCGGATGATATGGATTGGAGACGAAGTGGTCATATGCCTGTGGCTGGCCATATCGGCGAAGCTAATCGTAAGCATCATTAGTTCTAAATACGTAACATGGACTAGTTCAATAATAAGAGCGGGAAGGAAGATTTGATCAAAGATTTATAGTGGAGAAATGCTGTATGTTGTAATTACAATAAAAAAATAACGTAAATGTCTTTATCGATAACGCCGTGGAATGTTCGAGAAGAAAGTGTATATTTTTTTAAACCAGGAATAAAATAATGAAATTATACCAGCGTTCTACGTTCGGCATTCCATTTTCATGAATAATAATATTTTAAGAAATATTTAATAGCGATTACAATCATAAGGGGTAATAATTTTCTTGTGTATAACTTTCCATAATACTGCCTTTTTCCGAATACGCTGGTACCGTAGTTATATATACGTTATAGTATGTGCTGTGAAAAATTACTTCTAATGCAATCATAATTTATAATTAGAACTATTTGCAAACAGTCACCTCTTTTTATACTCGCCTGCTCATCAAAACAACCAATCAACGGTCGACTGCTTTTATTAAGCTTCTTTTTTTATGAAGGTGTTTTGATTTGTGTTTTATCCCCACACTTGCCCCTTACGACAATTTGGAGATAAAATAGAATGATGATAAATTATATTTTTACTCCATCTGAATACGGACGATAGTTATACTGAAACAATTTATTTATATACTAGGTAATTTTTTATTCCTACTTTTAATCTTACCATTTAATACGTTAAAAATTTTATGACATGAAATTTGCATTCCTGTCGTCAAAGTCGTCTAATTATACATGTTTCAATCTTTTGTATAATGCACGATGGCAAGTAACGCGGTGAATGGATTTGGGCAGACCATCCTATTGGGCTGTGCCTTAACTATCACCCTCCCTGCCTGCCATCACAAGTTATTCTACACTATATACATTTTAGATGATGTAACCGCTTTAATCTAATATTCTACACAATGATGAGGTTGAGTAGATACAGGTTAAAAGTCTGGTTTTGATTTTTTTTTAATATAACTTGAATAGTAAGGGGTAACCGTCACCTATATATATGAAGAGCACCACGAACATCACATTATCACGTCATACCTGTGATACCACTCATGTGTTCCCATTCTGGAGGACTAAAATATTATTGTATTATTATATAGCAAATTACGAAAGCAAAAACAGACGTGAAATTATTTTTTTTTTTGTAATGAATGAAATTATTAAGTTAGAACCGGAGCTCCAGAAGATGAGGAGGCTACATTACCGTCTGGTCGAAGACTAGATGATTCAGTATTTCAGTCCGACGAGCAGAACAGGTACGAAGGGTCTTTGATGAAATTGACCGCAAGGGCTCCCGACCCGAGCACTACAACAGACGGTTTTACGGAAGATCCAATGATGGCCGAGGTAAATTATTATATAGTACATAAAATTTAACTAATAATAAGAATAATAATATATCAGAATGTATTGGCTCTTAACCAAATTAACAAAAAAATCATCCTTCGATTGAAACAGTTAACAAAGCCAGCTACTTGGCGACAGAAATACATAACACAAAGTTACCCACGCAAACCAATTTGTACAGTTTAATCGTAATGAAAATGCTTATTATTCATTCCCTTTTCAGATAATTGAAAAATATCCAAAAGGTTCCCTCGATCAGATAAAAGCAATCCACAGTCTCATGAATATGAGGAAATTTAACAATCCGCAGCACACTACCGTAAAATATTTAACAACTGTAAGTCTTTGTAAGCTAATCTTACCTAACATTGTCGATGCATACATACAATTGAATCCCGGCGTCGTTCAGATAAAAACACCTTATAACTAATAACAAAGTAACTATTGTTTTCTTATTGAATAAATAAGAAAACAATAGCTACTGAAAGCTCTAATATCTTGAAGAATAAATAATACAAAACTAACAAATATAATTTGTAGTGTAATGAATATTTTTCAAAAGTATAGGTAATGGTAACATTTTCTTTCCAAAAACACCTAGTTCAATCGTAACGAAATTGTTATAAGAACAAAACGAGAATTTATAAAGCCTCTTTTACAAAGAGAATCATTATATTGAAACAGTATTGGATAAGATATCGCGTAACATGTATACAAATATAAACAAATGGAATATCTGTCTTTTCGAAGTAATTGGAAAGTAAATAGTAATTGCCACAAATAATGTAATCACTATAAGGTTTATTTTTATGCTAGAATGACATATACGCAGGTGGGCCACCTGATGGTAACTGGTAAACGTCATTAACTCTAGATATTTTGTATTTATGAGCTTAAATGCCATAGTCAACGTTCTTTATTCATTTCAGACGACAAATAATTATGACGAAAGATTTGCAGCACCGTATGGTCCTGGCTTTCTTGAAGGTGCTCCACATCCGAATCCTATAGCTGGGCAACGTAGACTGATGGATGGGCCTGACGCGCTTCATCACATGAATATTAACCCAGCCAGATTCGCTGTCCCTGATCAAAATATCGGCTCTAGAAGCAATTGGTACTACCCAAAAGTTTCAAAGAAACTCCCGTTTGACTACTACGATTTACACGTCAACTATAATACAAAATATCAATATCCAGCGCCTTTCACATTTAGAACAGGTCCAAAAAGACCAACCCGGCCATCAACTAGACCAACACCATCACTAACTACTATGAAATCAACGAGGAGAACAGCGGATGATTCCAATTTTATGAAAACCAGCATCACTTATCTACCGGAGAAATTAAAGGAAGATATTTTAAACAATTTTGTTTTACCAAGGTTAGTTTTGGGTATTCGTAACTTTGTAAGTTCTATATTAATAATAATAGTTTGGAATTATATACCCTTTGAACAATGAAAGAATTTCTCAAATCTACGATATTATGTACAAAAGATTATTGTGTCATGAATATTTTGGCAAAAGAATTAAATTAGTTTGAGTCATGACAGGTCCTGTTAATACTTTAGATATTATTAATTTCTAGCTATACGAACAAAGATATTATGAATTCCAATAAAGAAAAGAATAAATCGGATGAAGACTACGAGGAAGATGCAAAGGGTTTCCCAGTTAGAAAGAAGAGAGACAACTCTAAAACTGACATTTCTAATTTGTCCAAAGTCAACGGTACTACATCTCCATCAACGAAACTACAGGAAACTATAACAACTCTGTTTGGTGGAAAACGAAAAGAAAAGCTTCTTTCAACTATATTTGCAGATAAATTGCTGAATGTACAGCTGAACTTAAGAACAAATAAAAAATTTGACTTAGAAATGTATAATTATAAAAATATAAATGACAATCATTCAGTTTCAAAGAGAAAAGACGTATTGTTGAAATTGTAAGTTCAATAAAATCTACGCCTATGCCTTGATGATTTTTTGTCCTTGTTTTTGATTAATTGATTTGATGTTTGTGTAATAAACTTTAATAACATATTTTACTGTCAATTTATTTTTCTTTTATAGCGAGCTAGTCCTTCACAGTTTTCATGTTATATTATATAATATAATAATAATATCACACAACAATTCACACGTCCTGTCCCAAGCTAAGCAGAACTTGTATTATATTATAGTTACTAGACAACTGATGTAAATACGTACACACATTACAATATTTACTTGTAAATTATATTATATAATATATAACTCCTGAATACAAATGTTTGTACTCGTACCGTGCGAGAAATCGAACCCGCGAGCATTGGATGTAAGGCGGTATGCTAAACCGCTAGACTACCGAGGCCATTATGTACTTCTGTGTCATAGATTTCACTTCAAAGCAGAGTTCGATCAAGTTGAATACAATGTATTGTATTTGAGTCCTTTCAGTTCGTCGTAGTTACTGCAATTCTGTTCGCTCTGTATATTTTAGCGACCGTAATATTTATTGTTCTGTGTTGTATCAGCAAATAAATGTATCGGAATTACACATTTGGACGTATGCAGCTGTTTGATAGTAACATTGTGCATAGTTTTATCGTTTATAGTTTCACGTTTAACTGTAGGTACTGTTTGTCTAAACCAATAATTATTTCTAATTTTTACCTTCCTACTCTATTGCATACGAAATACAATATATTCATTCCATACTGATTCCAAAAGTTGCATTTTCATGTAGTTTTCAATAAATATATAGAACATAACTAACTACTAGGTAGCTAAGACACAATATAATTAAAATTAATACAATTTAGCTTAATAAACTGGAATTAAGTAATATATGCGTTACTTATTCACATTTGATTTTGTTTATTCATTCATTTGAATATTTCTTTTATTATCTTTAACAAGAATATATCAGAAAACGAAATCAGATTTCCTTATTAGATTACTGTACAGTTCAATCATTATTATGTCTGTCAAGATCCTTTTGCTTAATGGCTACAGGTAAACACAAATAAATATATAGTAAAATACTTTATTTTCACGCAAGATTTGTCCTTTGTCTGTTCATTCAACCATTTTATTAGTTCGATCTTTGAAAAACAAATCGCCCTGCTGTCTCAAATAAATCCCGCTGTCTGATAGATGTATAATAATGAAATCTTGTGTTTGTATATTTTCTATTCAAACGAAGCCATAGAAAATAGCTCTTCTATATCTATAGTAATATAATAAAGAGAGAGGGAGTGAATTTTGTTATAAGGAAAATAAACTCACTGCACCGATTTGAGAAATTATTTCAATGTGGATGTACCTACATGTAAATGACTATGTATAGTGCTCAAAATTATGATTATTTAAATTCTATTCTATTTTTCGTTTTTAAGTTATATAATATTTTATATGGGATTTAAATACATTTTTTAATAACTGAGGTTTCTTAAAGACTATATTTTTATATTTAGTTATAAGAGAAACTACGATCTCTGATGGTAAAAGGCATATAATTTTACACATTAACAACAAAAATGGAACAAAGCACATTCACATTAACAACAAATAAATTTTAAATATTTTACATATTTAAAATTTATTTATAAAAAATATAATTATCATATAATAAGGTGCCTTATGCACAACATTATTAATTTTATGCTAGTCAAATTCAAAATCATTTATTGCCATACGATGTTTCGGCTTAATTTCTGACGGCCTCGGTGGTCTTGCGGTTTACCTTAATTTGTTTAGCTTCCTTCCAATGGTCGCCGGTTCGATTCCTCGCACGACACAAACATTTGTATTGATAATATAATATACGATTGTTTGTGTCCATCTGGGCGTTTTCTATGTATAATAATTAAGACTTTACGAAAAAAACATTGTTATGTATTTGTATCAGTTAACTAGTACCCATAACACATGCTTAATCTAGCTTAACTTGGGACTAGATGGCACTGTGTGAATTGTCCTAAGATTTTTATTATTTTTCTTCTCAATTTTCACCGGTATCTTTGCTATGTACGGGTCTCAGCCTAAGTATTTAACAAGATTATATTTTTACGTGTTACTCTTATTATTATTATTATTTCTGCTTACCTATTTGAGATAGACGAATTATTTTGAAAATAAATAACTACAAGTAACTTTGCCATTAATTATACAGTACAAGGTTTACATTATAAAAACTATATTGTTTGCTGTGGAATTTGCTGCATGAATAAAAATCTTTAATTACACAGCTCACAAAGGCGACTTGCAATCTTTTTCATTTTTATTCAATGTAAACTGGGTTCGCTTGTGTACAATTTCTTTTATTTACTAAGGATATATTCGAAAAATAATGGTGCAAAAGTAATCTATAATAATATTATAAATGTGAAATTGTGTCTACCTGTTTATCGCCTTTTAATTAAATAAGATATGGAAATATATTATAATATTACGGTAAAAAAATAAAAAAATAGTCGTTGTCGTGTGTAACTGCTAGTAAGTAAATACCATTAATATTATACCAGATTAAATTAGGTGCTATCTACCCAATTTTATCATATAATTAACTTAACCTAACAATATATTTTAAATTAAATGTATATAAGATTATACGATATTATACGATTGCAAAAAGACGAACAATATGTTTATATATGTCTAAACTTATATTATCTATTATATTTATCTATTCAACGATAACTAGTACTCCGTGAGAAAACTGTCATTAGAATTCGAGCTATAAATTTAAAGTTTCTCGATAAAAGTTGTAGTCGTAGATCTTAGAGACAAATGTAACAACTTAAAACACAGGTACATTACTAAGTGGCTGCTTATAAAACAAAACTTTTCAATATAGTGAAACATGGAACGCATTCCAAGTATGTTTAGAGAGATTGTACATTTTTAATAGATTTTTATGAATGTTTATGGCGACATTTTTATAAAATTTGAATTATGAACAAATTAACGCTCCATATGACTGCTGTTGCCTATACTAAAAATATCACTTATATTTGATTGTGATTTATTTTCAACCTACAGTTGTTGTTAAATTTTTAGATAGCACCGTATAGATATCATTCATTCGTCTTCGCATAGTATAAAATGAACACGCTTCCGCTGTCTGTTCTCTTAGATCTTTTAAACCACGCAATAGATTTAAATGCACTTTTTAGCAATAGATAGAATTATTTAACAGAAAACTTTATACGAATAATACATGTACACCTGTGCGAAGCCAGGGCTAGTCATTAATAAATGTACAAACTCACGGATTAGCATTCTTAATTATGTTCTCATAAAAATGTTAATTAATAATGGCTGTTCAACCCTATTAGGGTTGACGATTAGGTAAATATGACAATATAATTTGCTAGTCAGCTCAGAACATTTCGGTTTAATAACATCTGCCTGAACTTATCTCCCACTGCAGACATGGTAATTTCACTTGAATGTCTAATTTGACCTGGTAAACACCAATGTAAACATCTCGATTCATTTTGTTTAACTTGAATAATATTTCTTGAACTGAATTCCGATTTGTATGTATATTTGTTTGCTGAAAAATATATGTTTGTACGGAATTTACACTGACCAGCAAAATTGGTAGGTATATGCCTGCGAGCTAGGTGAGACAAGTACGGAGGACACAACTAGAGGACGAAATGCATATTGACTTAAGTTTTTTTTATTAAGAATTACAATTTATATAGCATAGAGATAGGGATAAACGATTTTCCGGTTCACCTGATGGTAAGTGATTATCGCCGCACTTGAGAATAAGAAGGTGACCACAACATGGTTGTGCGTGGCAAAAAGTTTCTAGATCACTGCACTATGGAGGACCGGATGATCAGGAGGTTTTTAAAATATTAATAACTAATTAAAGATATGACACACCTCATCAATGAATTAATAAAATGTGACGAATGTTGATGGGGTAAGTCGGCACCTCACATTCGAAGCCTGAGTGGAGTCGATTTCAACAATTTTCTTAGAAGTGCATCCAACGCAGAACGCTGATAGTGCGGTATGATGTGGCTATAAGAGTGATGCACACTAAGTAATCTTAGGGTTATCATAGTATATACCAATCCTGTGACTTCGTAACAGTAAAACTTTTTTGTTTATAAACCGATTGAAATTAAACAATAAGTCTTATGTAATATTATATTATCTGTGGTTATGTTAATAAACTAAATAATAAACTCTCCCAATCATACTTTTTCTCGTCCATCTTTTATATACTCACAGATAATATTTTTTTATTCTTGTATTTGTTTAGCGTTATGTCCTTAAACAAAACAAGCTTTAATAGTATTAGTGAACATTAGTAAATGTCAGATGATAATTAAAATATGAATAGTATTATAAATATTCCATTAGCAAATATCGGACCCATAAATTAACGAACTGTTAAAAAGCCCCTAGCCGAAGCGGATGTCTAAAGTCTACTCCTACCTTATTAAGTATAATCTTGAATAATAAAGATTATTTAAATAATGCTATTCTACCAAGAAATAATTTCTAACAGCATTAGGGCCGACGAAAACGCTTGCGTTTCACGTTGTCTACAAAATATTGGAGTCGGAGAATTCTCATAACTTAAAACTGGAATGACGGTGTAATTCCACGTCTAATCTCAGGCGTAGTTAACGAGGCGCGGAAAGTGGTGGCATGGATGAGTGGCCAAGATTGCAGGTACGGTGACATAGTCAAGATGGCCGACTTTGCTAAGATGGTCGAGATATCGCATGCTAAGGTAGATAAGTCCGAGATGCGTACTTCAAAATTTTAAATGAACCTATTGGAGATGATATACTAAATATTTAATTACGTATGTCTACCTTTACCTACCTATTTCAGCAGTAAAGCGACTTGCTTTGTAAGCTGTGTTTTAGGTAAGATAAGATAGGATAAGAGGCATGATATCTTTGTCCTTCGGAATTGCAAAGCATCAGCGCACGGGTATCATATGATAAGGTGATGACCG